GAAAGTTAAACATTCATTGCGTTGATTCAATGAGCACCCCGCATTGTTCACTAAGAAAAAGGTGTTGGGCGGACAATATATAACAAGTACGTATTTGAACGATGTTTTCAGAAAACCGATTTTTACACTATTCCAACTACCAAGCTTCACATCCGGGACATTTATGGAGTATCTTCTATGCATATTCACGATTATCACTCTATTTGAGAAAGTTCATCAAATTATCGTTTGGGTAAATCAATATACATACATACATATATATATAGTGAAAAATGAGAATTTTCATCGCGACACAATTATTCCACCTCCCCTGGAACTTGCTCTTTGAAGCCAATTTGATATTGTGCACAATGGCCATTTCTCCGGAATACGTGTGAACGCCCACTCACCATACTCTCTACAAGATTTCGCATCATGTCCGTCTCTCCATTGTTCCCAAAAGAACTTCTTCCACCAGACGAAGGAGTTTCTCACTTGTCGAGATTACTCATCCGGTCAGGGATAAAATATGATCAGCCGCGTCGGTGAACATCAGTCAAAGGCACCATAAATAGTGGGAGATTCGTATGAATAATGAAAAAAATGTTTCCAGAATTTCGTGAAAAAAAATCGTCGTGAAAAGTTACCGTTTTTCAGGATAACGCTCCGAGTCATGTTTCACGAGTGGTTAGTAAATTTATTTAGTTAAGGAATCTGATTCGCCTACTATTTGCTTTTAGACTTCAGAATAGATGCGTGACTCCAGGGTCTAGTTCATGCAACTTACCCCTTATAGCCCGAATCTTGACATGATTGAAATTCTGTTTTCTGTTCTGAAGAGAGAGAGGTTAATGTGCTACCTGTAAATTTGACATTGGATGCAAAAGTGCGTTATGTAATGGAGCACAACATAGAAAACGACTTCATAACAAAGTTGGTGGATTCGATGCCGAAGGAACTCGAAAAAGTCCTAAAGAATATAGACAGACCAATCGATTATTAGTGTACACAAACTTTACATCTTACTTATTATCAATGTTCATTTGTTGTACATAAAAAATGTTCCATTCTCTTTAGTT